ACCCCTGAGGGCATCCTGCCTACCACTGCTGCCACTGTCCTGTCCAGAGCACCCAAGTGAAATGCACTGTGCGTTTAGTGTTTTGTGCAGTAACATGGGTTTTAAATGTTTTTGTATGTGTTAAATGCTTGATTTAAATTATATAAAAAAAATACCTCTATGCAGAGGCTCTTGGTTAAGGATAAATTATATGTTGCCTTGCACTTCGAACATACCACTGATTTTCTGGTGTTGTAGGACATGTTGAAGTGGACCCAGCATGAAAATTGAATTGACGAATGAGAGGTTTATTAGTATTTGTTACAATCACACCCTAAGCACTTTATATATATGTTCATCTTTTTATAAGTTGCTCAGTTCAGAGCCTTTGGAGTTACCTTTGACTCTTCTTTCTCTCAAACTTCATACTCATCAGCCTCTTCCTGGAGTGTATGTGTGCATCCATCAGCATCTGACTACCTCCTAATACCTCCATGACCACCACTCTTGTTCAAGTTACCACCAATTCTTACCTCAATGACAGCAGTAGATTCCTTGCTGACCTTTGTTTCTGCCCCTTCTCCCCTTCAGTGTGATCTCAACCCAGTGGTTAGTATGATTTTATTAAAATGAAGGTCTCCTCTCTCTCTGCCCAATGTCCTTACCTTCCAAACCCTGTAGGATACAAGTTCTCATTACTCATCTGACTTCATCTCTTCCTTTTCTTGCCCTTGTTCACTCTAACCTCAAACATCCTGGACATGCTCCTTCCTCAGAGCCTATGCAATTCCCTCCGCCAGTTCTCAGTTACCACATACCTCATACCTCACTCCCTCACTTAAGAGTTTTATCAGATGCCACCTTCTCGGCAAGGCCTACCCTGACCTCTCTACTTAAAATTGCAACGCCTTAACTTTTCCTAATTGCCTGCCTTTCTTTATTTTACTAACGTATTTGTTACCTACTAACACTTTTTATAATAGCTTTTTAAAGGTTTGTGTAACAGCTTTATTGAGATATAATTAACATACCGTACAATTCACCTACTTAAAATATACAGTTCATTGATTTGCAGTATATTCAGAGCTGTGCAGTCATCAACATAGTCAATTTTAGAAGTTTTCCATCACTCCAAAAGAAACCCCATAGTCAGTAGCAGTCACCCGCCATTCCCTACCCCTCAACGTGTTCCAGTCCTATGTAACCACTAATCTACCTTTTACCTTATAGATTGACCTATTCTGGACATTTTATATAAATCATGTAGCATGTGGCCTTTTGTGACTTGTTTCTTTCACTTAGCATGTTTTCAAAGTTCATCCATGTTATAGCATGCATGACTACTTCCTTTTTATGGCCAAATAATATTCCATTGAATGGATGTAACACATTTTCTTGATCCATTCATCAGTTGATGAACATTTGTGCACAAGTTTTGTGTGGACATATATTTTCAGTTCTCTTGGGTATATACCTAGTAGGAATAGCTGGGCCATATGGTAACTCTGTGTTTACTCTGTTAAGGAACTGCCAGACCATTTTCCAAAGCAGCTGCATTGTCTTACTTTCCCAGCCTCTCCACATCCTTGCCCATACTTATTATCTTGTCTTTTTGATTCTAGCCATCATAGTGGGTATAAAGTGGTATTTCATTGTGATTTTGATTTGCATGTCCCTGATAGCTAATGATATTGAGCATCATTTTCATGTGCTTGTTAGCCATTTATATATCTTCTCTGGAGAAATGTCTATTCAGATCCTTTGCTCATTTTTAAATTGGGTTGTCTTTTTAATGTTGAGTTGTGATAATTATGTATTTTGAATACTATATCCTTATAGATGAATGATTTGCAGGTATTTTCTCCCATTCTGTGGGTTATCTTTCTTATTCATGATAGTACCTTTGAAGCACAAAAGTGTTTAATTTTGATGAAATTCAATGTATGTATTTTAATGTGGTCGCTTATGCTTTTGGTGTCATCTCTTAGAAACTATTGCTTAACCCAAAGTCAAGATTTACACGTATATTTTTTTCTAAGAGCTTTATGGTTTTAGCTTTTAAATTTAGATCCACTTTGAGTGAATTTTTGTGTATGCTTTGAAGTAGGGGTTCGATTTCATTCTTTTGCATGTAGATATCCAGTTGTCCCTGCACCATTTGTTAAAAAGACTATTCTGTGCTCGCTTTGGCAGCACATACACTAAAAAGACCCTTCTCCCCCCCCCATTGAATTGTCTTGACACCTTTATCAGAATCAATTGACTGTCAATTTGAGAATTTATCTGGACTCTCAGTTCTATTCCATTCAGTATGATAAATTCTTATACATTGCTTTCAGAAGTTTTGCGACCGATGGTTTCCTATGAGCTGTATTTATCATACCTAGACTGTGTTCTTATTAGCTGGGAGCCTCCTAGTAATAACAGTGGTTTTCTGGAATGCTGTTTACTTGGGAAAAGATTTCAAGAAATACACATTTTAAAGCTTCTAAATTTCCCTGCTTAATTGATGTTTTCTTTGCCTTTGTGGAGTTGTAAAGGTCAAAGTCTATAATCACAACTTTCTCTTTAGCCTCTTGGCTCTCCTTGTCGTGGTCCATTCTGAATTCCTAGTTTCCTCCAAGGGAGTTCTTTTGAGCCCCCATGGAATTTGAGAGCAAGGCCAAGTGTGTTGCATATATTTGCATGGCATAATCTGGAGTTTCAGCACTGCGTGGACTTATGATAAAGCCCTATTCTGATCAAGTACAACCGTAGTTGACCAGCATCCTGGCACATGGCCTGAAAGTAACAGGGCCAGCTGGCAGTCTTCTTGTGGCTTAAATACCATGTTGGACCACACAGGTACCATTTTATCCCAGGCTATTAATCCTAGAAGTTCAGTTTCTAATCTTAGAAGTTGGAAACTCTTTTGGTAGAGCAGGAAAGTGGAAAATTCTTATTGATGCAATGTAAAGATTGCCAGGAATAACTGGAGTATAGGTAATTCAGTTTTTCTGCTTTTCCCAGTCAGTAAACCCAGTAGTATAATAGTAAACCCCTATCCAGGTGTGTATCCTCTTAAACTCCTAAAACACAAATTTAACCTAATCATCATTCAAATACCTGTGGCATATAGACATCAATCCATATAATCACTCTCAAAATATCACTTTCCTAGTGTTTGTTGTAACAGTTACTGTGCCCTAGTTCTTTCAAGACACATTTCAGTTAGATAATAAACATATGATTTCTTGAGAATTGTAAAATAGAATAATCAGTTATCCTGTGCTTGCTGTGGTGGCCATTAATTTGACAAATATCTGTGAATCATCAGTACACTAGGGCACTTGCGAGGTGCTATCTCCGTCAGTGTATTGGTCTCCCTGGGTACGTTTGTCTGTGAAATCACTTACCTTTTGATTGCCTCAAGGCTTTCTTCCAGGTTTTTCTCACTACAGGTTAGTATAATACATGGTTGGACTTAGCCAAACATGCTAATAATCAGACACCCATATATTCAGTAAATGGTAATTAAAAGCCTCCTGTTAGGCCATGCACTGTGATGGCTGCTGGCGACACAAAGGTGAGGGCAAGCGGCCTCAGTCTCTGTGTGTAGACCAGACATTATCTAATGATGTTGCTTATAACTCCGTAATGCATCAGCAGACCCTTCTTACATAACACATGGTACTGTGAGAACATGTGGTAGTCATCTATTCATTAAAACAAACAAGACTTAGGTGATTACTACGTGCTAAAGGTGGTTGACTTGAAGGTCAGGAGTAGCTTCTGTGAGGAAGTGAGTTAAACTGAGACCTTAGAGAGCAGTCAGCTGGTCTCAAGGGCAGCGGAGAAGCCACCAGACCCAGAGAACAGCATGTGCCAGAGGAACCGAAAGAAGACGAGTGTGGCAAGAAGCCAAGACTGAGATGGGACCAGGCACTTCAAGAGTTTGTGGGCCACTTTGAGGATTTGCCCTCAGAAGAAGAGCAGAAGGAAGCCATTCAATTGTTGGAACCCAAAACCACCTTTTACACAGCCTGTGAACTAGGTTTTAATAAGACCGCTTAGCTCTTACTCCGATTTGTTGATTTCCAGATAGAAAATGTTAAAATTTTAAAGTGTCATTATTTAGAGCAGTGCTTCTCAACTTTATGTGTTTAAGAATTACCTGGAGGAGTTATTAAAACAAATTGTTGGGCCCCACTCCCAGAGATTCTGTAAGTCTGGGTGCTGTTCAAGAACTTGAATTTCTAGTAAGTCCCCAGAAGATGCTGCTGCTGCTGGGCCTGCCATGGAGCAGATTTTGAGTTGCAGTTATTTAGAACCACAGAATTAACGCACCTCTCTTTTTCATTGTTTTCCTGGTGTGTAACCAATAAAGGATCATTTTTAGTCATATAATAACTAAGAAATACTTTTTCTTTGTTTTGGGAGCTATATTTTATAGAAGCCATTGAAAGGCTATAAATTATACTTATCTTTGTACTTTCGATTGGGTTGTCGGAAAAGTCATGACATACCGTATTTCCCCATGTATAAGATGCACCCTTTCTCGAAAAATTTGGGGTCTAAAAACTGGGTGTGTCTTATACAGTGGTTGTAGATTTTGGTTGGGAGTTTTGACAGTGATGAGGAGTTGTATGAAATTTATGATGAATAAAACTTGAGTTCAGTAACTTTATGTAATACTTTTTTTTCAAATTTCGGGCCCCAAAATTAAAGTGCGTCCTGTACATGGGGAAATACGGTTATTTTTTCTGGTTTTCATTACAAAAATGCGTCATGACTTTTCCGACAACCCAGTATGATATGTGACTCTGTGAGGTGATGTGGTAGTAAATAGCATTGAAATCAAAGTACTTAAAACTCAGAAAAAAATCATGATTAACTAAAATTTGTTAAAAAGTTATTAGTACTATCTTGATGGCTGTTAGATTTTGAAATTGAGGACAATATGATTTGGGATTTGGAAATAGTGTGTCAGCAAGAGTAAACCTATGTATTATTGAATCCGTTTTTTATTTTTGTTTTTCTAGATCTAATTACTTGTTTAGATACTGCATCCAGCTTTTTGGAGCCTGAGTTCAGGTATGACCATATTTGTGCCTTTTTTCCCTTAAATGTTACTCTTCATCTACTTCATCCTCATTCTTTATACACTTAAGATTAGTGGACATGGTATGACACATCATCTGTTCCAAGACGTCAGTAAATCTGAGTTTATTTAAAGCCACAATGAGTTGCCATGCTTTAATTGTAGCATTTGGATCTTCTCCACAATGAAAATGTAATTTTCATGTACTTTAAAAGTAAAACTAGTTGCTCTTCAAATCTGGCAAAACTGCTAATAAAGGTAGAAGAGCGATTTTTCTGTAAAAAGAGAAGAGAATGATTTTAGCTGTTATGGAATTCTTCAGTGTATCTTAACCCAAGTAGCATTTTTACTACTATTTCCTGCTCTATGCACTTGTCTCTTGCCTAGACTGGAATGAACTTCTCACCCATTTCCCATTCCTACCCTTTGCTGGCTTTATTCGGCCAGTCACACGGCTGCCAGATTGTTTTCTAAAATATATAGCTCATCATGCCTCTCCTTAAAAATCTTCAGGAGCTCCTAATTAAGACAAAAAGTCACGCAGATTCCGTAGCCTGGTTTTCAGGATCTTTTCCCGGCTCCATGAGCCATTTTTCCAGTCTCATCTCATGTACTCATGTTGAAATGATTCTGGATTACTTACACTGCTCTGGCCTCTCATAACTTTTGCCTGGAATCACTTTACTTTTTTCTGCTTGGCAAAACCATGCTCGTCTTCTAAGACCATCTCACTAACCTCCCTGCAACTTGCTACCTCTCCCCAAAGAATCTTCGTTTTGTCTTCAGGAAGGGTTCTCTGTATATGAGATGGGTGTGCCCTCGTGGGGGATCCTGGTCAGCAGAGGTGGCCCTGGCGTCAGTGTATGACACACGGCCCTGCAGAGGGTCAGCTGTCCTGTGCCCTGCACTCTAGCTCCATGGTCACTGCCCAGATGCAAGCTGCCATCATGTCTCACCTGTGCTACATACACTACCTGTCTAATGTCCCAGCGTCCACTCGTGTTCCTTACAGTCTCTTTTCTTCCCAGGAGCCACAGTACTCTTTTTTATTTATTTATTTATTTTTATTTATTTATTTTTTTTTAAGATTTTTATTGGGTAATTGGGGGGATGGGAACAGTACTGGGGAATTAGGGGAAGGGGTACAGACAAGTTGCTGTCGTTTTGTTCTTCAATCTAGTTGTGGAGGACACTGCTTCACTGGCCCAAGTTGGCACCATCATTGCGCTCTTCCCTGGCGAGGCAGATCAGTCGCCGGCTTCTG